ACCATCAGTTTGTAGATAGTATGTAAATGTTCTATTTCTAGTAGAAACTTTTTTTATATTAAAGCTTCTATTCCACCTAAAGCTCCTAACAGGTGAGGTTTGGGCTTGGCCCGAATGTTTTAAAGGCAAACCTGAACCCGACCCAGAATTTTTGGGTTGATTTTGGGTTAATAAGAAAATTTTGTGATTACATTAATTCAGATAATAATAATTAATTAAATATAAAAGGCGAAACAGTTATAGTGGTTTAAAAGCTGTAATTTGTGTCATGTGTGATGCTAAACACAATTTATGATGCAAGAGATGTAGAACTCAATTCATAATGCAAGATGTAACTCAAGGCAATTTGTGATGTAAGGCATAATTCAAGACAATTTGTGACACAATACATATTTAAAGACACAAGGCTGGTGGATGATGGCTGGAACTAATCATAGTTTAGGCCAAATTTTGCGGTGAAGTTGGCAAAACCTAAACTGCAGGTGAAAACTGAACAGTCAATTAAACTCTACTGTTTAATTTCCAACCACAAAAGTGTTTTATTGAACAAAAAAAGAATTGATTTGTTTTATTACAAAATGAATTGGGTCAAAAATGACATTATTTTTGTGATAATCATAATCTTTTTTAATAAATATATTAATAAAAAATACAACTATATAGATTACATGTCCAGCATATGATTGGACGGCACTTCGATAAATCCGTTTTATTTATCATAAAACTTTGGTCATAGGTTTGACAATTTAACCACAGTTTAGGAGTTTGCCCATAATTTAAGTTTCGTCACCAGTTTAGGAGCCTAAATTCCTAATTTCTATAGATAAACTAATTCAGATTTGTTAAAATAATTTCAGCCACCATCACTGCACAAAATACAATCATGATGTGTGTATGAATTAATTCAAATTTTAACCACATATAAAACTCTTTATTTATTTGCATGAAAACTTTTTAATTTATTAATTTTTAATGTAACATCAATGCTTCATAGCTAAAAAGGTTTTGTTAGCTAATAAATTATCATGAATCATATTTGCACCATGAATTGAGACTTGCATCACGAATTGCATCTTGTGTCAATTGTATAAAATTATGATAGGTGGTGCAATGCAAATTTTTAGGATTTTTAATTGCAATTTAATAATTTTGACCTCAAGTATAATTGGTACAGTCCAAAAAGTTTTCGGGTTTCGGGTCGGGTTTGAGTTTTTCAGTTCGGTCCCAACCAACAACCCGAACCCGAATTGGGCCCAACCCGAAAACTTTCAGGTTAGCCCAGCCTGTTTCGGAGCTTTATGCTGGACCATCACCATAAAATTATGATAGGTGGTGCAATGCAAATTTTTAGGATTTTTAATTGCAATTTAATAATTTTGATCTCAAGTATAATTGGTACAGTCCAAAAAGTTTTTGGGTTTCGGGTTTTTCTGTTTGGTCCCAACCAACAACCCAAACCTGAATTGGGCCCAACCTGAAACTTTCAGTTTAGCCCAGCCCATTTCGGAGCTTTAATTCCACCAACGATCAAAATTTTCTTTAAAAGCTTCTCTAGTTACTAGATCATTTTGTTTAGTAGAAGCCCATAATTGGTATAATGCTTCAGTGTCAATGTTTATGTTTCTTTGTTGGATTGAATATAGTGGAAGAATCATGAAAGAGCAAGGATTTTTTGAAATATGTTTTAATAAAGAGTGCAGGAGAGGGAGATATTTCCACCAATTTTTTTTCACTTCATTGTTTTTTAATGACAAGGTTCCTAAATATTTCTTGCCTTTTGCAATATATAAATGAATCTAGTAGAGGCAATGTCAAAAAGTGAAGGATCTCTGATATTAAAAAAAAAATGATGGAAGTGAAAGTCTTGAACCACTGTAAAGGATTTTATTAGGGATGGGGCGGTTCCGCTCCGCTCTGTTCAGCTCTTGTGGAGCCGCTCTCCATTACACAAAAATCAAAATGTTTCACAGAAAAAAAAAATACAAAACTTCGGGCGACGAATAGACATTTTGCTATAAAAAGGTGATGAATAACACATTTTTTTGGGGTGACAATTAAGCTTGGCGTATATTTCATATACATATTAATATGTAAAACTCAATCAGTCATGTGGGAGGTGAGCTCATATGACCGACTTATCAAATTAATTACTTAAATATTAAGAAAATGGGGTGAAAATGGGGTGAAAATTTTGGCCGACTTATTGAGTTTACATATGTATTATGATGTTTTAATTGATGAAAATTATCAAATTATAAGAGGAGAGAAATACTTGTTAATTGATGACTTGTTAAAATTAATTACAAAATATGCAAAAATCAAAATAGTATTTCGTTTGTGCCTTTAATTTTCAACACTGTTATTGTTGGACCTTTAAGATCACATTTTTGATGAAATATTTTTGGTGTGAATCCATCTCTCGTACCTCTCAACAATAATTTGAGCTCGTAGGGAAAATCTTTTAATGTGTACAATTTATTATTGTTGCTGTTATGATTATTTTGGGTGTGATTATGTTTATTGTCTATCCAATTAGAAATTAGTACCAAATGTTGTAAAGTAATTAGTATTGAGTCAACACCTTTTCTTTTAAATTGTGATAAAGTTGAGTTCTGTTTCGATTCCTCGACTAGATGAAACTCCAAAATCTCATCAAACAAATCTTTATCAATGATTTTCTTAAAAGGCTTTACTTTTCTAAAGAAGTCTTTTGGTCCAATGTTACCAAATTTGATCAAAGACACACAAGGTTGTAAAGTTGCAGCTAAATTTTTGAAATCTTCTTTAGTCCAAGTTTTCAAATCAGTGATTGAAAGTGACGATGATGACGATGATGAAGATGATATTTGAGCGAGCCCCCATTTAATGATTGAATCCCATATTTCAATTTCTTCCATGCATAAATCATCTCGTTTCAATAATGTTATTAAAGTATCTTTTTCCAACGTGATGAAATCTTTGGAATTGAATATTATGTGAGGGATTTGTTTAACTATTAACTTACAATATGATTGTAATATTGTGAACGATTGATGTTGCATTGCAATCTTGTGCACCAGGCAAAAGTTTTGCTTTAACGATTCTTCCATATTCTTCAAAAGATATTCCTGTAATATCTCAAAAAGATCCGGAAGACATAATTCATCCGCTGCTACAAGCGTGTACATTATGGTTTTAATATTTTTTGAATTATTTAAATCCATCACTCCCCCATAAATATATCTACAAATTAAATATTTATTTAAGAATGTAAGAGGAAAGAGATAAAGCATTATCTTTGGTAATGCTTTTACTTGATCGTTTTGGTGGCAGATGGCTATTCTCACCAAATATCGATGAAGACTTTTCACATAAAAAGCTATCAAAATATCCAAAAGAAAAGGTCAATGAAGATTTTAAATTTGCTGCACTGGTGATACAATTGGCATGTGTTGAAATTAGATTACTGTTGGATGAATTGATGGATCAATATGAAATTATTGAAAATAAAGACCTTAAAGACAATAATAAAAATAGTGATGATGATAATAACAATAATAAAGGCAATAATAATAATGTCAATAATCCTTATAATAATACCAATAAACATGAAATAATGTTACCAGTATGTTACACTATTTTAGAAAAATCAATAGAATACTTTTCACAATTTGAAAATTATTTGAATTCTCAAGATGACAATGTTGAAGTTGCTATAAAATTTGATCCAGAAATATTATTAAAAATCAAAGGGATTTTAACTGAAACATTTAGAGCAATAATTGATAATTTACTTGAATTCAAAGTAAGAAAAAATTTTTTTCCTTATTAATCTACATATTTGGTTATTTTAGATTCACTGATTCATTGATTCATTGGTTGATTGATATAATTTAGGAATATACAAAAAATGATGTTAAAGCAGCAATTAATGATTTTAAAATTTTAGCAAGTATACGGGTCCTTTCATCATGGTTAGCTGAAGAAAATGAATTTCAAAAAGAAGTTTCACTTCTTATGCCATTCTTAATCAATATTTGTTCTTATAGGTTTGAAAAAATACATTAATAAAACCAATTTATTTATTTGACAAATAAGACTTTATGTTAATAATTATTTTATTTTGTTAATAAAAATGCAGTGAAAAGGAAAACTTGGAATTAAATCTTGTTAAAATTATGATGCCAGCTTATTTGAATCTCACATCTCAGGAAGAACCTCAAGATGCTTTTCTTTCTCATGGTGGTAGTAATTTAATAATTAATCATATACTTAATATTTGGTCTAATATAAACAGCAGTGGTAGCAATAGTGCCAGTAGTAGTAATGTTGATAATATTAATGTTAACGAAATTTATTCAAGAGATTTTGTTAATGATGTTCTTGGTCCAATACAAGTTTTATTAAATATAATTGTGTCAGAAAGAGAAAAATTTGTTATTAGAAATGAGAAAGAAATATCAAAAGTCATGAAAATATGCTTTCAAATCTTAAATCTTCTTGGTAAATATTTCTTTTTTCATGCCAAATTAAATTATGTGGTAATATTTATTTTATTTATTTATATATACAAACACACATTAATTTTTTTTTGTTATTTAGACAAATCCATAAATTCATCATCATTATCTTCATATTCTTCTTCTTCATTATGCAACAACAATCAAATAATCCTTTTTTCAAATATCTTATTATTTTGTTTATTGATTATAAGAAACACACCTCCATCATCAGATCAATTAATTGAAAATATTAATTTAATAGAAAATCTAAAAAACATTGCAAATAATTTTTATGGAAATATACAAAATAATAATAGTTTGATAAATGATTTACAAATTGAAGAATTAATATATTTGGGAAAACAGAATTTAGAAAATTTTTAAAATCATTCAATATTTTATCAATTCATTATCTTTGTTATTTTATAATAAAGTAATATTTACAATTTGAGAAAAGCAAAATATGGCAACCAATAATTAGGTTCTATTGTGACTTATATTTAATGTTTTGCTTAGGTTATCAATGATGATGATTGTGTGGTCTAAATGCTTGGTTATGATTAAAAAAGAAATATTCAGACCTTTAGTACACAGAGATAGAATTCATTATTAAATTTTTTTGAGATTCAAGAAAAAATGGCATGTTGCAACAAAACCAAAGTGAACTTTTGGTATTACCAACAATTTCAGGGGCCGAAAAATTATAACAACTGTATTGTGATTATGATTTTTGTTTTTTGTTTCTTATATAGGATTACCTCTGCATAAAAATAATTAATATGAAACTCATCTACATCAGATCTACTATGGAACCCAGCACCACTAGGAGTATTTTGAAGAAAGAACATGGTGAAAAAATTGCTCCTTATATTTTCAAGTAAATGATACTCAGACACTTGAAGCTTATCTGGGCCTGATCAATAGAAACGAGGCATGTCAAAAAAATCATGTTTTGGGAAAATCAACAAATAAGATTTTGACCCCCAAAATTCATCATTTATTTATAATAATAATAATAATTGCTCATGTAACATCATGTAGACTAATGCCATTTCACTTTTTCTCAAATATCTCAAAACAATTATAAGCAAAGTGGGTATAGTCACTAAGCTAAAAATGTTCTTTGTGATGAATTACATATAAAAATATTGTTAACTCAAAATCAACTTTTTGGTGACATG